TCCATCAAATTTAGAATTTGATTATAATGTACATAATTTAATCTATTCATCCTGATCTCTTTCTAATGATGTAAAATATTCGATATTTTGATGTAAATTACGAAACAAACAATTGCCTCTTTAAGGAATATATCATGCGATTAAGCTATCTACATTAAAAAAAGAGTTTAAACGACTGGGTATGTTAAAATGATTTTAAGTTATATATAACTTAAAAGGTAATAGATTGCCGCTCAGAGAGGTAGAGGGGCAAAATGATAGGGGTGGGGGCATAAAGTCTTATGATTCAAAATTGCTAATGTGCATCTTTTTTTTTGAACGTTTGTCTTGTGCTTAATGAACAAATCTCCAGGTGCATCGCACTGCTTCATTTGTAGTTAGGCATACGGTTCTGGTTGAAGTTTTTTTTATTGTTGTTGTAGTACACCAGATTAAACAGGAAGTAGTCCCGCGGATTTCGAACATCAGTAAAAAAAGACTTATTGGTATGATTTTCTTTAAAATTGGTGGATGTATGTTTAAAGAATTTCCGAAAAGAATGCTGTTTTGATGTAAATTACGAAACAAACAGTTGCCTTTTTTAAGGAATATATCATGCGATTAAGCTATCTACATAAAAAAAAGAGTTTAAACGACTGGGTATGTTAAAATGATTTTAAGTTATATCTAACTTAAAAGGTAATAGATTGCCGCTCAGATAGGGGTGGGGGCATAAAGTCTTATGATTCAAAATTGCTGATGTGCATCTTTTTTATGAACGTTTGTCTTGTGCTTAATGAACAAATTTCCAGGTGCATCGCACTGCTTCATTGTCGTTAGGCATACGGTTCTGGTTGAAGTTTTTTTTTATTGTTGTTGTAGTACACCAGATTAAACAGGAAGTGGTGCAGCGGATTTCGAACATCAGTAAAAAAAGACTTATTGGTATGATTTTCTTTAAAATTGGTGGATGTAAGTATAAGAATTTCCGAAAAGAATGCTGTTTCAGAACTTTGAAAATTTGGTCAAAATTCCACTTTCGTTCACGAAACTTGGAAGATGGTTAGATGCTAAATCATCAATTAGAATTTTTAAAAAAACATTTTCCAAACATTTCCGGAAATAGCTAGAAATGACGAAAAAAGACCGAAAATAACAAAAGCAGAGTGTTCGAACTATTTTTTGCAAACACTCAATAATGTAATACCACAAAGTTTGTACCATCGATATATTCATTTAATACCAGATGCCCCTTTATATTAGAAACTCTCTGTTTTTAAATAACTAAGG